ATAGAACGCCAAAGTTATTATTAACGAGTTTGAGGTACTCGCTAAGGAAACGTTAGATAAGATAATTGATATTTTAGAAAACGATAATATATTAGATATTAATTTAGGTGATAGTAATAGTGAATTAATTAATGACGAAGAAATAAATAGGCTAATCGAAGAGGATATATTAGAATTAAATAAAATTAATAAACCAGTAGACGATATATTAAATAAAAGTTTAAGATTAATTAATTTAGACGAATTTGAAAATAACCCTACTACAAGTACATGTAAGATAGGATTAAGAAGTAATAAAAATATTATTCATACCGAGTATATACCAGCTAAGCCAACAATAAAATTTAAAAAACGAGAAGGGTAGCTGCTAAATTCGTTCCACTGTTGTTGACATTGGAAGAAAAGGAAAATCGTTTAACGATTTGTCAAGACCTTAAAATTCGATCTGCTGATATTAATTTCATAAAAAACATCATCACAGGTGATGAGACATGGGTTTTTGGGTACGATCCAGAAACAAAGTTAAAAACAAAATTTTCCCCTCGACTAAAAAAAGCTTGCCAAGTGAGATCGAATGTCAAGACAATAATGATTGTTTTTTTTGATATTGAAGAAAGTATTGTTTATTATGAATTTGTGCCCCATGGACAAACAGTCAATCTGGTATTCTATAAAGATGTATTAATACGTTTGCGAGAAAGAATCCGCAAAAAGTGCCCAGAAAAATGGCGAAGTGGAACCTGGTTTCTTCATCACGACAATGCGCCAGCACATTCATTGTTGTCAATTCGTGAATTTTTGGCTGAAAAAAAAATACCTGTGGTCCCGCACCCTTTCTATTCTCCTGATCTAGCCCCATGTGATTTTTTTTCTTTTCACGAGACTAAAATCTGCGTTTAAAGGACAACGATTTCAAGATGTAGAGGAAATTAAAGCGAATCGATAACAGAACTTAAAGCTATAACTTTAGAACAGTTCCAAAGGACTTTCAAAAAATGGCAAGATCGTTGGAACATCTGCATATTATCTGGAGGAGAGTATTTTGAAGGCGATATCTTTAAATGATATGTAACTTCATTTTTGTAATTATTAAAAAAAAAATCCTGGTACTTTTTGAACAGACTTCGTATATGGAAAAAATTTAATCGACCATAATAATAAAATACGCAACGTATTTGAACGGTTACAGAAACATAACTTAAAAATACAACCAGATAAATGTCAATTTTTAAAACAATAGTGTTTATATCTAGGACATATTATTAGTGAGCACGGAATAAAACCAGATCCGAATAAAGTTAAATCAGTATTAGAATTTCCAGTACCTACAAATGTAAAAGAAATTAAATCATTTTTGGGACTTATGGGTATTATCGGAAGCTTATAAAATCTTACAATCTTATAGCACAGCCAATAATAAATATATTAAAAAAGGGTGTTCAATTTAATTGGGAAACAAAATGTCAAGAAGCATTCGATAAATTAAAAACAATACTTTGTTTGAACCATTATTACGATATCCATATTTTACAAAACCGTTTATAGTTACTACAAATGCGAGCGGAAAAGCTTTAGGCGCTATATTATCACAGGGAGAAATACCATTAGATTTACCTATCGACAGCGTGCGCCGGTACCACTAGCGCTCTGGGTTAAACAGAACTTAAAAAACTTATTAAAAATTGTCGATAAACAAATTAGTATACTGAAAGCAACCGCGAATATATTTAAGGAAGCCACCCAAATGGAAATGCAAATTAATAGGTAAGGAATACTATGTGATAGATTAGAATCGACCGTGAATCAAACAGTAATGAATATAGAAATAGTCGAAGCTAGAAAAAATATAAACGAACAATTCAATATTTTAAATTTACTATTCCAACAAATAAGTTTCGAAACCGATACAATATGTGAAATAATTATAGCCGCTCAAGAGGGTATAGTCGTCATGGAATTATGACGACAATTAAAAGATATTTCTTTAAACATTCCAAAGGAACAAAGCTTATCATTTGATTTATATCAAGTATCATTGTACTAATTGAGTAAAAATATGTCAAAATTAAGTATCTTCTTATAATATAAAACGAGGAATAGTTGCTACACGGGCCGATAGGTTTAGTGTCCCGACTAATCGAAAAATTACAATTTTTTTCTTCCAGTCCTTATCCCATATCTCCCGCCGTCGTCGTTATCGTTATCTCCCACCGCCGTCGTTATCGGTTCGGTTATTGCTTATTAGTTTATTACTCATTATTATTGTTTTTATATACCGTTTTTTCCGCTTTTCGCCCGGTTTTCCGGCCTTTCGAAACCTCTTTCCGTCGCGTTCTCGACGCTTTATTCCGGAGCGAGTCTTTTTCGTCCCGTTCGCGGCCGTCGCGTCCGGTAAACGCGTTTTCCGGTCAGTCGTCGTATCGTCACTACTGTTTTTATTTTTACGATACGATAAATCGTTTATCCGTATCGAATACGCGTCCTTTTGTTTTCGGTGTCTCCACCCTCGGACGCAACAAAATTAAAAAATGTAAACGGATACGTCGGAAACACTCTAAACGACAATAAATATGCGATTTACGGTTTCGTGACACGCGAATCGTAAAAATTGTATCACTTTAACGACGTGTAATGTAGTATTCGTCTCATCTCTAAAACGGTTTAAGTGCTCGAAATTCGGTTACGGTTTTCAACTCATACGGTAGTCGATAGGTGTTAGGATAGGTTCCCCAACGTTAGGTAGGCAGATTTGAATCCCGTTCCGGCATAATATAACGAGCGTCTGGAGACAGCACCCTCGGAGCAGTTTTCCTTATCACAATACCATTATCACATAACCAACCAAGATACCGGTTACAATGTTTAATACCATTCCTTTGGTTAATACTTTATCAGTATAATTGATATTAAATTTAAATTATTATTTATTACCATAAGGCATAAGGGCATATTAACGTTTTTAGCAACTTTAACAAAATTGAAAATACCAATACATATTGATATTATATAATTATTTTGTCATTTTGTCATGATTATTAGTTACTACAAATTACAATACTTATTTCAATTTTGTATAATAATTCAACATTGTTTTACTAAACACTAAACTCACATTAATAAATATGGTAAGTCATTAAAAAAATATAAAAAATAATTATTCTTCACTGAAGTCTAAAATTAAAATTGTTTAAATTATTAAATTAGTAATCTTATTTTGTATAAGAGTGGTCAAAATCAGTATGAACGTAGAGAGTTTTGTTTTTTCCTTTCAAATCATCTATAATTTGATTTTTTATTGTTTGTGTAGGTTTATTTAATCTCTGTTCTTCTGGTGCTTTTATCCTTTGTTTTTTGGTTGAATAAAACCGCAACTGTTTTTTTGCGTTCTTATTAACAGGTTCTTGATTTTCTACATTTTTTATTAAATTATTTTCTCCTTCATATAATATGCTTAAACCGGTATCAATAGAAGCATTGATTTTCATTAGTTGTTGTGGACTTAATGTGCCTGCTTGTGACACAAACATGTGATAGAATTCTTGAAGTTTGTTACCAATGGATTCCTTGGATACAGAAGTCAGTTGTTGAGTGATTGGAATTTTCATACATACTTCATCAGTTATCATGGGATTACATACATCACTTGTTGAAATTACAACTTCATCGTCAACCATATTCATTTTTACAGCATGGATATGCTTGCACATATTATTCTTAATTGTGTAATCATAACAGGTACAAGAAAACAAATGAACACACACTTTACATGCAACACACATAATTTTACATGCACATGGTTCACGTTTCTTAACAAGATAATTTTGATCTAAAGTTTCAGATGTTACAGACCAAGTGATTTCAGATATTTGTTGAATTCCAGAAGAATTAATATGAGCAGCAGAACGATGACGACTATTAATAGCATTTACGTAGTGATTAACTTTTCCACCATTGCACAGTTTTATTAGTCGTTCAAAGTTTTTATCACGCAATGATTTTAGTAAATGCCATAGTAACACATCAAGGCGTTGATTTTTTTTTCCCTTTAAATATACATGTTTTAAAGTTTTATGGAAAGCTTCTAAAACCATATTTGTATTAAGTATTATTTGATGCCGATAGCAAGCTGCCCATAACTTTTTCCTATGTACATATGTTCGCTCAAAGTATGCTTTAAAATTATGCAATGTTGGCTCCTCTTCTAATTTATTAAGAAAAGAAGTTAAAAGTTCTTCAAACAGATTTTCATTTGGTTCTTCCAGTAATACACGAAGCGTTTTATAAATATAAGCTTTTATATTTTGAGAACCAGCGATTTTTTTTAAGTTCTTGCGCCAGTTATTGTCAACATGCCACTTACACAACAAATGATATTGAGGAGTAGGCGACATTGTGTTAACCCATGCATTCCAAAATGCTGGCGCATCATCACTCATAAATACATTTGGAGTTAGGCAACCAATTACCTCCCTAATTTTTGAAAAAAAACTTTCATATGTACTTCGTCAATTTTTGTGCTTATACAAAATGCAGCTGGGTATCCTTCTCCAAATTCATCAATTACTACAATTGTAGTTAAATTAAAATTGTATTGATTGGTGCCATGTGTAGAATCTATACACAATTTTCCATTACTAAATTTATGCAAAACAGCTTTTTGAGCTTCAGTAAGGATTATTAACATAAAATCGTTTAAGTCTAATGGATGATATTCTGTTCCTTGGGTTTTATAAAGAATAATTGGATTTGAAGAACTTTCGGCAAATTTTTTTACTTGAAGATCCACACTCAGAGCATCAATATCGTGTAATTTATACTTGTGAAGTAATCCAAACTTAGTGGAAATGTTGTAAACATCTTTCCTAGTTATGATGTTTTTTTTTCAATTGTATTATCAAAGTTGTCACGGATTTGATCAATAATGACATTAGAAGGCACTCCATTTTTAATTTTATCTGGTAATGTATAAGAAAAGTTATGAGTAAATAGTAGATATTACATTAAAATGTAATTAAAATGTTACAGTTACCAGCAATTGTTTCCTGAACAGAAGAAGGAATTGGGAGAAATTTTATATCATTCTGATGTCCATGATGTGTCTTACAATAAGTTACAACAACGTTATTATCGGTGACTACTGTTCGAATAAAAGAAGGACAGGATTGATCTAATAGTCCAATTAGAAAAATAAAGCATTTAATGTTTAAAGTTATCTATATAATCTGATCTATTATTAAGGATATAAATTGAATTATTTGTACCCCTCGTTATAATAACACATACCTATTTTGCACGATCCAGTAATTTTTAAGGCACGTTTCCCCATACTTTTACTATGAAATACTCCTGAACGATGACAATAGTACTTTCTTGTAGCTACAGTTTTAGTTTTATTAAATTTTATCCCTCTGTGTTGAACAAATTTAGTAGATGAGCATATTTCTTCCCTCTCTTTCCAATCATTAAATTCTACAATTAATTAACAAAAAATGTTTATATAATGTTATTACTTCATCATAAATATAATGTACATCATATATTTTACCTTGTAATGAAGCAAAATTATGAGAAGTTATTTCTAACTGAGGATTATTTTTCTCAATTCCAGTGAAGTGGGTAACTTTTATATGTCGAGCTAAATTATATTTTTTTTTAAATTGGATACTACAGTATGCACATTCAAAATACATAATTAAAAAAATATATCAAAAATCAATGTGCTAAAATATTTAAAAATTATCAAATTAAAAAACGATTTACTAAAATATTTAAGAACCAATATTATTCAGACATACAACAAAGTATTCATATAGAAAATGTTACATTTATAAATAAGAAAGTTTCCACAGGTAATAAAAAGTAATATAGATAACAGTTGTAAAGAGGTTTTACCTGTATTAATTAAATGCTGTGTGTAGGTATGTCAATACTGCAGACAATGCAGTACATAACTATTTTAGGTAATAATAGAAAAAATATAGGGAAACGTGCATTAAAAATTATTGGATAGTGTGAAATAGGTATTTAATATATTATATATAGGTATATAATTTAGATTATTTTTGACAATGTACATTATATTTATGATGAAGTAATAAACTAATAACATTATATATAAATATTTTGTTAATTAATTGTAGTATTTAATGATTGGAAAGAGAGGGAATAAATATGCTCATCTACTAAAATTCTTCAACACAGAGGGATAAAATTAAATTATGTATATAATTATGTATTTCATAGTAAAAATATCCCGCCTTATTAAATTAAATTTAATGTGTCCTGTTTTGCCATTGTATTGTAATTTGTAGTTACTAATAATCATAAATTAATTCTAATGTAGAATGATACTCATTATGCATGAATGAACATATAATGTTTTAGCAATTTTTGTATTTGGATAACCATAATTAATTTAAATGTACTTTTACCAAAAAATTTATAAAATATATCCCCCATTGAAATTTCCTGGGCACACCACTGTAAACAATACCCAATATTTTTAATTTAACTTTTGCCCCCAATAAAAAAAAATCATAATTGCAAACTCAATATTAATTAATTTATTATTATCATCAAATTCGTAAATATATATATTATTTATTATATTTATTGATTTATCTATCTATAATCTATATTCTATTCTAAAATACTTAAATAAAATAAATAATATAAATAATATATAAATTGTAAGACGTATGTAATGATTTCGCGACCATCATAAAACCCTCTGCGATCCTAATTAGTAATTTGGGTCGAGACCCGAGGTTGGGAATAATGGGAATCGCTGTGTGCCTGTGTTATGGTAATAATTTAAATAATTTAATATTTAAATTTAATATCAATTATACTGATAAAGTATTAACCAAAGGAATGTGTAGCGATCATAGAATGGTCGAGAATCTTCGTGGCTGGTAGGCAACACAAAATGCATATACGCACGAGGGTTCTCGAACATTCTATAAAAGAAGAAAACTCTAGAACACACCAGGGTCACTATATATATAGCGGTGCGACAACGCCGAACCCACCAATTATGCCTATACCGTGGTGCACGCAGTGTGACTAACGCAAACAGTGTATATATGTGTAAAATAAACTTTCATTTTTCATAAGTTAATAAATAGTGTTTTCATTACATTTTATTTAAATCATAAACACCAAAGTGGTGACCTCGACGAGCGAAAAATGGAAGACAAAAAAAAAGCAGGAGCCGACAAACGAAGTCAACATAATCGGCGTAAAACTACCACCATTTTGGAAATGCGATCCAGCTGCCTGGTTTAAAAGAGCTGAAGCTCAATTCCGACTAGCACATGTAAGTAAGTCTCAAACCAAATTCGACCATATTCTAACCATGCTTGACGAAGACATAATCGGAAAAGTAAGTGACATTTTAGACATAGATAATACCGAAAACGCTTATCAAAATTTAAAAGATAGGCTTATCAACACATACGGTAGGACTGAGGAAGACAAATTTCGCGAGTTAATTTCTGGAATTTCGTTAGGCGACGAAAAACCTTCATTAATGTTGTCAAAAATTAAATCATTAGCCGGCAACAATTAATTGTCCATCTCACATATTAAAACAAATGTGGTTACAACGCTTGCCTAATCAAGCCCAAATAGTATTAGCAGTAGCTCTAAAAACAGCTATAGTCGACGAACTAGCAGAAATGGCCGATCGGGTAGTAGATGTCTCACTAAATACAGTGAACCAAATACAAGAACAATACAAACCAAATAATATAGAAGACAAAATAGCTGACCTCCAACAACAAATCATGCAATTACAATTACAGCAAGGACGAACTTACTCAAGAAACAAACCGGGGAGTCACTCACGTTCAAAATCACGATCCCGTTTTAATGCAGATGGACCACTATGCTACTTCCATTATAAATTTCGTAGTAAAGCACAAAAATGTCTTAAACCATGTAAATGGACTTCACAAAAACCATCAGACAACACGGAAAACTAGAAACGCCCTCCGTGCCTGCAATTGAGACACGGAGGGGCTCTTGCTGTTTAGAAGTTATAGATCAAAAAACCAATCAAACATTTTTAATCGACAGCGGAGCTGAAGTTTCAATAGTGAAACCAAATAAAGCAGACAAGTCTAATATCTCAACTCGTGTACTCTATACGGCAAACAATCAAACTATATCAAACCTATGGAAACCGAACAATGATTTTAGATCTAGGACTTCGCAGACAATTTCGTTACACATTTATAATAGCAGATGTAACTCGTTGCATTCTAGGGGCAGATTTCCTAACACATTTCAACTTAGAAATCAATCTCAAACGCAAACAACTTCTTGAAGACGGCGTTACACATCTCACAACACCATTGGCTACCTCTCTCAAGACCAGTGTTGTGCACAGATAACTTTAAAATTATCTAGATAAGATAACAGATAATGCGTTACAAATTTATCTAGATGAGATAAATAGATAACACTTAAAATATTTATCTAGATAATAGATAAAAGATAATCACATTTATCTAGATAAAAAAAAAAGATAATTAATATTTAATAATTTAATATTGTAGATCCGAGAATAGTTATAATATTTTGGTTGGGCGTTTTTCTTCTTCTTCCCAAGTTAGGATTTCTGCGTCAAAAGTGTATTTCATAATGAAGAAAAAACTGAGAAAATAGTTAAAACTATTATTCTGTAACTAATCTGTTTTTTTTTAAATTAAGATTAAATGTAAATAAAATACTTTATTGTTCAAAATTGTGTTACAGAATTTTGTCTATAAAATATATTTAAATAGTTAAGAGTACATAATACAACAACAGAAGAACATCATAGAAAAACATCATTAAATACTTAATAAAAATTAAAACTATATTTATTTACTTTTTACATAAATATAAAATATGTTTTGTTATGTTTATGTAAGTAATTAAAATAAAATAATTTTAATAGTTATACCATAACTAAACATGTACAGCATTTAATTAATGTCAAAATAAATACAATTATACATTAAACTTGTTAGATTTTAAACACATTAATATCTCAAACGTCTTGTCACTCAAACGATTCCTTCTTGGAGTTAAAATTTGAATTCCATTGCTAAAGAGCCTTTCTACTTGTGCCGAAGATGGTAATGTAGTATTGTATTTTAAAAATATATGTTTTACTATTGGATAATGGTCTAGAATTATTAAATCTTTTCCATCTTTCTTTTTGGAATTTAAGTAAGATAATCCTTGTACACTAGCCAAGTTTTCACATCTATGCTGATTGGAACTTTCTAATGGTTGAGAATTGGAAATTGGTGTATAAAATTCATCGCCACTATCATTGTCTGTTGTAGAAGGTCCAGATTCAGTATTCATAATAGAACTAACTTCATTGCACTCTAACAGAAATAAATTTTTACAAACATCAGAGAACTGAGAAGGCACCCAACTGAGTTTAAATTTTGGAAGGGTCACCGATGACAATATATAGGGCTTACTTTTTGGATCATTTAAATCAAAAATAAAAGAGTATCGTTTTTCAAGACCTTTTATAATAGATAAAGACAATGGCTTGCAATAGGTCAAATGGCTTTGGTTTAATAGTATACGTCTAATTGCTATAATAGTCGGAGCAACATAACCAAGGTAACAGGATTTTTCACCTTGGAGTTTATCCAAAGCTGTAGTCAAAGGCTGCATAACTTTAATGTATTCCTCCAAAAAATTCCATTCCGTTGTTTTTAATTGACTCAGATTCAATTTTTCAAAGCACTCAATTATTTTTTCACGGCAAATCATAATTTTTTTAATCACATCATAAAATGAATTCCATCGAGTTATTACGGGTAATGGGAATTTACACTTACATATTATATTCAAAACTACATCCGATGCCATTGTACTCCTGCTTACTAAATTCCAAAAGGCTGTCAATTTACCAAAAGCAGATCTAGATATCATTTTGTATTGATTATTAGTAATTTTTGAAGTATCAATGGTAGCAACTAAATTGAGTGTGTGTGCAGAACATGTTATATGATTAGAAAGAATTATATCCAAATCATCATTGTCTTCAGAATATTCATTATAGTTGTTGGAAGCAATAGTTAAAATATCGGAAACATTTACTACTTCTACAATATCATCTAGTTCATTTTCAACATCATTTTGTAAAAATTCAGATTCTATTTCAAAATTGTGTTCAGTATTTTGGTCGAAAGCATCCATCAATATATTAATATTTTGAGCATCTAAAGTGACATTATTTTTTGAAACTGTTTCAGGCGGTGCAAATTGTTGTGCATAAACACGAAAGGCTTTACCAAAATTACTGGCATTGTCAGTAACTGTATGTGTTATTTTTGTGACATTAATTTTATAACTATTCATAACTTTAGAAATACATTTAGCAATGTTTGAATAATTATGGCTTCCTGCTATTCGTTGACATGCTAGAACATATGAACATCGATTGTATGATTTTTCTTCTATGTAATGCAATGTCATTCCTAAATAACTTTTATTTAATGAACTCCATATATCTGTAGTAATACATACATACATTTTCTCAGAAATTACATTTGTTAAGTCAGTTACATATCTTTTGTACTTGTTTGATAGCTGATTACAAATAGCTCTCCTATCAGGTACAAAATTGTCACCAGTCAGGCCAATAATAAGTGCTCGAAACGAAGGTTTTTCACATGTTGAAATCGGCTTCATCTCTTCTACAATATAGTTGAAAACCAATTCAATAACCTGAAAACATTTTATAATTTTTATTTGTGAAATAATAATAAACTAAAAAAATGATATAAAGTTGTAATTTTAAATTAAATGTAATAGAAAATTAATGACATATTATGTTTTTACATTTTGAATATATTAATTATAAATTTAATTTATTTTAGGTAATTATTAAAAAACAGGTAATAAATAAATATCTTCAATAAACTTATGAGATTTTGTAGGTAAGTACCTATAATAATTTAAAATTTTCTGAATACAAATTAAGTAAGGACATAAAAATGAACTTTTTAAATAATATAGTATACAGTATACATTATTTAAAAATTTTTTATTATTGTTCTTACTTTATATACTTTATAAACTATAATATTATTTGATACAGCAGAGTGGCAGGGTGCAGACTGTAGACGCCAGACGCTAATGCCCAATAGAATAATAGATACTCAGTAACTAGTGTGTGTATTTTAATTTACAATTTAACAGCTGGTTCTATTTTCTCCGTAATTTTGTATACGGATCAAATGTATTATCAATATAAACACAATTAAGTGGTTTGGTCCGTAGACGTAACGCATAAACTATTTTTAGCTAAAAATGTTTTTCCCGCAATGTTGACTACGGCACTACGCCGCATTTTATCAGGCCAATGTTCGTACTCACGTACACCACAGTCTATAGTCTGTTATTATCATAATATTTATTATTATTGATGTGTGCTAACGCCGTATTATCGTTGAAATCAGGAAAAAGGGAATTTTACAATAACAACACGGATTTAAGTTTATAAACACTATTTGATTTTATTTAATTAATTACGAATTTGCTTATATTAAAGAGGTTCTGTCTACATACTAATGGAGGTTCTGCTTCACTCGAGTCCGTACTCCGACTGCCGACACGGTCCCGTCCGTGGGAACCGTACGGGTTGTCGCACGATGAATTCGCTGACCAACGCACTTCCCACAGTCACGTAGGCCACTGCGTTAGCCAGCGAATACACATATCGCATACAGGGTGCTTAATATATACAGGGTACAACATACCCCCCGAGTTAAACGGAAGCAGTCCCTGCGACCTCGTAAATACAAATTACTTCCCCAAATCTTAAATAACATCTTAAAATAATAACATGTTTGCTTAATATTCTAAGTGCGCTAGTATACAATATCGCCACATGCGCCTTGCTTACTTAAATCTATTCTAAACTAAATGTTCTCTTGGTTACATGTTCAAATTACAAAAAAAAAGTTATAATAATATATTTAAATTTGAGTTTCCGCTACAACATCTCGTGGTTGGTACATGATGGGTTTTCTAGCGGTATATTTAACAAAACAGAATAAAGAACTCAAGAGAGTTATGAGAATGGTCAAGATAATAATCAGAGATATGATAAGATATAGGTTACTTTCTTTTGGAGTATAATTTTTATTTCTTTCCACTTTTATGAGTTCCTCGATTTCTTTTAAAGATTTAGAATGCCGTGATAAGTCTTCTAGACCAATGCCGTTCTGACTCTCTGAAAAATTACGTGATTCAAAGAGGTCCTGAGAAATATTTGTTACTAAAAGAGAACCTAGTCCTTCACTTTGTGTAGGATTATAAAGATTTTGACTGGAGTTCCTAACAATTGTTTGCGATGGAAAGAGAATAGTTTGTTTTGCATATAAAACACATTGTGGGTTTAATGTTAATTGCCCTGTCCCATTAAGGATGATGTTGTGCGGATCCTCATTATCACACTTAATAGCTACATTTTCACTTACTGATACGTACAACCATGTATTTGTTAATTCTAAGCGACTAAAAATAGAATTAGTAATTTTTACATACTGAACTTTACATACAGAAGAATTTTCCTTTAAACCTAAGAGAGAATTGACCCCACAGATTGTATTTGTCGAACTATACATGCACATGATCTGCGAGCAATAGAAAGAAGTGTCGATACGTTTACAATTTCCTAACTGCGATTCTGTTAAAGGGATAAAATATTCTCAATTTGAGCTAAGTGCTAAGGCAGAAGGTACAGATGTAAAAATAGCATATGTCTGACCCTGTTGTCGAACAGGAAATGGTATAAGCCTATAACCCTTGTAGGAATTAGAACTGATTAAAGGGATTTTTTGTATAAATATAAGCGTGTTGTTTGCGAGTAAAATGGAAACTTGTGTAACCTGAATGAATTTTGTGATACTAAACTTCTCTAACGGGAAAGGTAAATTTGAGCCAATGGGAAGAGTTAACTGAA